TTTTCAGGCCGAAGCACTTTGCTGATTGGGCGGGGTATTTTCGTCTACGTGGTGGACTGTGAGGCGCAGAAGGTGAGGGGGTGGGGTGGGGGATGTTTGGGGTCTTCTCCACTGCCTTGAAACATTTGTTCCTTCTGTCGTCGTAGCTCCTCTACCTCGTGTTGCTGCTGTTGTTGCTGCATTCCATTCACGGCCTCGTGCTGCTGCTGCTGTTGATGTATTGCATCTACCGCTTCGTATTGTTGCTGCTGCTGCTTTACTACCGCCGCAACCTTGTGTTGCTGCCGATGCTGCTGAAGCTGCATCACCCAACTTGGTAACTGACTGACTGCATGCATGCAGGTGACGCGCCGAATTAATCTGCTTGAGGCAGCAGGAGCAATCGATGGCCGTCCCTTAGGGCGAATGCCGGTAGCTGCAGTCTGCACTCTGAGAGAAGACACTGCAGTTGTTGTGACAGAAGGTAAGTAAAATCAATAAATGAAACGAGCGAAATAAATGAAACAAATAAATAATAAATGCTGCCAGATCGGTGACAAAAATAAACACCAGTACAGCCCCTATCACACAAATAACAACAGCCGCAAAAACAACACCAGCAGCTTTCACTCTCAAGTTCAGTGCAACTTTACTTCTCTCTCTCTCTCTACGTACTTGGCGATACACCCACACAATTTCCATCATATATAGCACAGAAGCTTCAAACGCCAGCGCTGTGTTCAAGTATATAATTAGTAAATGAGTTCATAAGATGAAAAACCTCTTATTTGTTTTCGCTTTTATGCACTGCAACGCGTTCTGTTGTCCTCACAGGGGGGGAAGCGCTACTGCTGCAGGTGGCTGCGGGGGCGGTGATAGCTGTTGGCCGCCTCGGTTTACACCCCAACCTTCCTCGGGTCTCTGAAGGATTGGCTGATGATCCAATTTGCGTTGCAGCGTGCGGAGAGGAAGAGGTAGTAGTGGCGTGTGGTGGAGCCCTCAGTATGGTGCATGTTCTTTGACTTAGAAACAAAATTATTACTCTTGCGTGCTAGAACCAGGGGGTCTTATATACACATATACATATACATATACACCCTAGCCCGTCTAGGGTGTATATGCAATACAGCAGACTGCTGATCAACCAAACAGACACACTGCTGCATGCGGTAGCCAACATGCAGCGTCTAGCGAAGATTCTCTGTAGTAATTTGCTGCGAAATATAACCAGCACGCATGCTCGTATGCAGCAGCAGTGGCAGCAGCAGCAGCAGCAGCAGCAACAGCAACAGCAACAGCAACAGCAGCAGCAACAGCATCAGACCCTTGGGCAGCAGCGCAATACCGCAAGAGCGACTCTTGCATTATTTTGGTTGAAGTTTGACCATCGAACTTGACGAAAATATTTGTTTAAATTTTAAAAAAATA